GCAGCCTCTCCTGAGGGGAGAGGGTCTGGGCCTCCTAGATGGGGTCCGAGCAGATGGGGTCGGAGGATCGCGCCGCATCGCCGATGCATCGCCAATGCGGCTCAATGCTGAGCGCGATTTTCTCCACGCCGGCGGCGCCGATGCATCGCCGACGTCGCCCGTGCATGCCGATGCATCGGCAATGCGGCGGGATCCTTCGACCCCATCTACTTCGACCCCTAGGAGGCCTCTAGAGGAGTGTCTGGGCTTCGAAAGTCCAGGGTTCGCTGGGGACTGGTCTCGTTTCAAAATGTCCGAATCCTTCCCGAAACCCTCCGAAGACCCTCCGGGAAGGGCGCCAGGTGGGTTTTCGGGAGGTTCGGGATGGTTGTGGAAGGGTTTTCGTCGGTTTCGGGGGGGGGAGCCAGTCCCCCGCGAACCCTGGGCATTCTGAGTCCGGGCGTTTCCTGCCCTCCGCCTCTGCGTCCTCCGGTGTCCTGCTGCTCCTCCGCCTCGCCCTCCTCGCTGCCTCCCCGCCCTCCCGCCCGGCAACCGCGCCGGCCCCACCTGTGCGCCTGCGCCTGCCCGTGTGTCCGCCCCTGTCCTCGCCGAGCGCGTTCCAGTGCTCGCGGAGTGCCTGCCCGCAGGCGTCCGCAAACACACACGCACACGCACATGTTTGCCTCGACGTGCAGTGGAGACCCATGCCAAGAAAAGCCCTGCCTGCCTCCAGGGTGCCATGGGCTTCTTGGGTTTCGATGGTTTTGCCGTGGAAAGCGCGTCGTCCCCACACCAAAAGTCCATCGACGTCTTGGGGTCTCAGGGTTGGGTTTCTTGTGGAAGATTTCTTGTGGACTGGCCTCCACTGTAATGGATCTTGGATCCACCGCGGCGGATCCAGGCCGTTTGCGAGTAGTTACTTTGCGAGTAGTGGAACGCGTTTGTCTATGTCCGTCGGCTTCCGCCCATGCCTCTGTGCGCGCCTGTCTGAGCTTGCCCCTCCGCCCATGTCCGTTTCTGCCCTCTGCGACCATGCCCACGGCCGCATGCGCGCCTGTCTCCGCTGGCTTCCGCACCGCTTCGCCGACCTGATTCAGGACGAAGCAGACGTCGGAGCGGCGCGAGGAAGTCTGAGAGCCGCCCTCCCTTCACACTCGGCGAAGGACGAGGTACCGCTGCCGCTGCCCTTCCCTCGTTCTCGCCTGTCTGGGCCTCCTGGGCGGCCCTGGTCGCCTCGGCTGGACTCGCCCTGGAATCCAGGGAGTCATGGGATGAGTATTTTTTTGGTGTCCTCTGGAGGAGAAGGAGAAGGAGGAGGAGGAGGAGGAGGAGAAGGACCAGCGTAAACCCAAGACTCATTCACGATGTTTCAATAAAACATCCCTCCAAGCTCCCTCTTCATAGGCTCCTGGAAGCGTTCCTTTCCTCTGAGGTAAGTGCCCCGTTCGGAGACAACTGTGTGAAAATCCTGAGCCGTGCTAGAGCACCATTCTTGGATTTAAACGCCACGAATCAACCCTCGTGTTGAGTCTTGGCGATCTTGAACCGTGTCAGATTCCTGGGACTTCAACACAGCGAATCAACGTAACTGCTGCGCCCTGACAATCCCACATCGCTCCAAAACACCGCTCCTGGTACGTTCACCATTCGAATTCGTGAAACTCTTGCGAACCTTTAAGCGTATATGTGCGGCGCTAAGGCGACAGCCACATTTTGAAAACGACCCGCCCTCCCTCCGTGAAACTCTTGCGCGTCTTCAAACGAGTGTGCGCGGCGCTAAGGTGAGAATCACATTTTGAAAACGACTTAACTTGAATCCGTGAAGCCCTGGCAAACCTTTGAAACGCATGTCCGCGGCGCTACGGTAGGTTCGCGTCGTGTCGACCGGCGGCGACCCCAGCGCGGGCGTTCAAGGTTGAGCGCCGCCGGCGGCCCAGAATCGGTCGATGTTGAACGATTGGACGTTGCGGAAATGGCCGATCGTTCAAGGTTGAACGATCCCTGCGGTGTCAAAAACCAACGCCGGGGTCGACACGACACGAACCTGCCGTAGGGCGAGAGCCACATTTTGGAAGCGACCCGCCCTCCATCTGTGGAACTGTTGCCAATTTGAAGTTTCAACGCAGCGTCATACATTGTAGGGAAGGGTCAGGCGAAACACCCGGCCCGCCCTTCTCACGGGCCTCGTGGTGCGACAGGGAGGAATCTGTAACAAGGAGAAGGAATGGAGTAGAACGAGCGGTATCGGTACCTTTTGGTGTTCCCGTTCCTCTCCCTGACCTCTCTGCCGAGCCAGGCGCCCGCAGTGACATATGCGGCGCCCCCGACGACGTACGCGGTGCCGACGGCAGCGGTTCCGCGCCGCTCCACTTGTGGGAACATTTCCTGACCGCCCTCTTAGGAGCACAGAGGCGACTGTTTGAGCGCAGGGCAATGGCAGGTTGAAGCTGGCTGCGGGTCTGAGGTGGTCCAGCATTTTCTGGCCAGCCGAAAGAGCGGCGAGGTTCGAGGCTCTGGGTTCGAGAAGGTTTTGTTGTGTCTTCTTCGGTCTCCAGTGGCCGTTGTCGGGGCCCGGAACCGTCAAAAACGGATCTGGGGGTGAACACTTGAGCCACACGGACCTCTGGAGGGGTCAGGGAACCGTTTTTGAGCGGATCTGAGCGGAGGCCTAGAAGTTGACACCAGCAGCAGCATCGGCGGTGTGCCTCCACCGAGGGAAGAGGATCCTGATCTCTGCGATGGTGGTAGTAGTCGGGCTTCCCGGGTGGCCGAAGGATGGCCACCAGCACCAGAAGCTAGGATTACCTTCCCCTGGTGGAGGCAACCCCTTGTGTTGGTGCTGGTGCTCATGTCCAAGTCTCCAACTCTCATTGTTGGTGTTGGTGTTGGTGTTGGCGCTTCATGATGGTGTTGGTGCTCATGTCCTAGTCTTCAATTCTGTTGGTGTTGGTGTTGGTGCTTCGGTGTTGGTGTTGGGACATCGAGTTCAGAGGCCCTTGGACCGCCTCCAAATTGCGGGGCTGCCTTCGCGCGACTCCGGGTTTGCCTCTGGTGCATGTGGTTGGACAACATTGGCCTTCGTTCTCGTTATTGTCGGGATCCCGCATAGGGTGTCTGCCCCAGTGTGTGTGTGTGTGTGTGTGTGTGTGTGTGTGCCCCGCCCGCGCCGGGCTTCCCCCTCCCTCTTCTCCTGCATTGCGGCTTAATTCGCATCTGTATGTCCTACACATGCTCTTTCCGCCAGCGCAGTCACTCTGCCTAGCCGCCAACGCAAAAAGTGTGTGTGTGTGCCCTGGTGTGTGTGTGTGAGAGAGTTCGATCGGTTTTTGCACCGAACCGCCCAAAGCAGATGCCCCCCAGCCGCCGGCAGCTCCCGATAGTCGCCGATCGGGTGGGGCATGCGGGGGGCATCTGCTTGCGGCAGTTCGGTGCACCAGCGGATCGAATTCATGCCCCCCTCAGGATCCCCCCACTTGGTGGATCCCGACTCTTGTTCTCAATGGGAGAATATTTTTCGCGGACGGCAATGAGGCGGAGAGCTGAAATGGCAGGGTTTTGCCGACAGTGTCGCCTCTTTTTGAACATCTTCTTTTTCTCCTCCACTTTCTGCTTCACTGCCTTCGGAATGGACTTCGACCCTTTCTCCACATCGGGTGCTGTCGAATTATCGAGCGACTACCTAGGAACGTGTTCTTTTTTTATTCTCACGTGTGGATTATCTGTCAGTCTGTCTGGGTTTCGGTGCCCTTCTGGGCTTCGGTGTCCCGTTGGGTTTCGGCGCCCCGTTGGTTTTTCTGAGTTTTTTTCGTTGTCAGCGCTTCTTGGGTTTTCGGCGTTCGTTCGGTGTTCAGTGCCTGTTGGTTTTCGGCGCCCGTTTGCATGTCGGCGCTCTCGTGGTTTTCGGCGCTCCTTTGGTTTGCGGTCCCCTTGTGGTTGTCGGCGCGCCTTTGGTTTTCGGCGTTCGCTCGGTGTTCAGCGCCTGTTGGTTTTCGGCGCCCGTCTGCTTGTCGGCGCTCTCTTGGTTTTCGGCCCTCCTTTGGTTTGCGGCCCCCTTTTGGTTGTCGGCGTGCTTTTGGTTTTCGGCGCCCTTCTGGGTTTCGGCGCTCTTTGGGTTTTCGGCTTTTTTTGTGGTATTCGGCGCGCTCGTGGTTTTCGGCGCCCCTATGGTCTTCGGCGCTCCTTTCGGCTTCGGTGCTCCTTTGGTTTTCGGCGCATTTTTTGTTTTCGGCGACGTTTTGGTTTTTCTATGCCCGTTCGGTTTTCGGCGTATCTTCGGTTTTCGGCGCCGTCTGGTTTTCGCGCCCTTCTGGTTTTCGGTGGCTCGTTGGTTTTCGGCGTTCCGTTGGTTTTCGGCGCCCTTCCGGTCTTCGGCGCTCCTCCCTCTAGCCACAAGGCGGGGCTTCCAGGCCCCCCCCCCTCCTCGGCCCAAAAGGGGTGGGGGGGGCCTCCGGCGGAAGGGGTTTGAAAGGGGGGGGTAGTTGAGCCCCCCCCCCCCCACATTTCTCACCCCTTGGAGCGAAGGGGGGGGGAGGTGGCATCCAGAGCGCGAGGGGGTGGGGTGGCGGGCGGGGCAGCTTCCGAGGGGGGCGAAAAAACAAAGAGGGGGGTTGGGGGCTTCCGGCAGGTGTGGTAGCTGAGCTCCCTCCCCCCTTTATTTGGTGTGGGGATGGGGGACGGGGGCGGGGTGGCTTCCGGGGCGCGAATGGGATGGGGGGGAGCTTCCGCGGGGCGGCGAAAAAGGAGGACTTCTGGCAGGGCAAGTCGGTGGGGGGGTAGCTGAGGGCCCCCTTCCCTTTAAGAGAGTGCCGCGGGCGCGCTTCCATTTGTGCGCGTGCGTGTGTACAGGTGTATGTGTGTGCATTTGTGTCTATGCATGTGCGTACACACACATGTACATCTCTATATGTATGTGTACGTGTAATATATATATATATATATATATATATATATATATATATATTCCAAACAGCGCTTGCACTTAGACGTTCTTCTTTGCTCGAAGGAGCTGGGCCGTGTCTTCGGCCTGGCGGCCATGCGGCCGCCGTCGCCGCCCCGTTGCCGCCCGTCGCCGCCCCGTCGCCGCCCGTCGCCGAGGCCGTGCCTTCGGCCTGGCGGCTGTGAGGCCGCGAACGCCGCCCCGTCGCCGCCCCGTCGCCGCCGCGTAGGTTGCTCCGCTTAGAGTGCGCGGCGTAGGAAGGCACACATATATATATATATATATATAAACATACGTGTAGATCCCTTGTTTAACCTACGCATATAGATACGATATATATATATATATATATATATATATATATATATATATATATGCGTAGGTTGCGCCGCGTAGATCCCTTGTTTAACCGGAGCGCCAGCGCCCTCCCGGCGCTGGATCCACCCCGCCTTGGCATGTCCAGCTCGCATGCGATTCTGCCCCAGCGTTCGTTCTCTAACTATGAGTTCGTGCGATCCCGGCCAAGCCAGTTTCGACCCCCCCCCTCTCCGCACTGGGAAAAAACAGTATGCGCGCACGCTCATTTATCACGAGCCACCACATTTGCAGAACTCCTTCCAGCGAGCGAGACGACGCGCGCGCGTCGTCGCGCGTCCATGCCAGAAACTTTCAACGCCCTGTCGTTCCGCGCGGATTTCAACGTCGAGCGCCCCGAACGATATGAGCTTTCCAAGAAGGTATGCGCGCGCGCTCTTTTGAATTCTCAGGAACACAATTGATTTTCCAACATGCCCACCAAATTCGGCCAAACGGCCTCTCGCGCGCATGTCTAAACCGTGCGCCCCAGCGCGCTCTCTGGGGGTGGGCGGGTGGGGGGGGCGCGCGAAACCGGTCGAGGAATGTCGCTCGGGCCACTCGCGCCGTCTGCTGCGCGCGCGCGTCGGAATCCTTTCGCAACCTTCGTCGCCGATGCGCGGGCGCCATCGTCGTCATCGGTGTGATCGGCATCGGTGCTGTCGTTGGCTTCGCCGTCGTCGTCGTCGTCGTCGTCGTCGTCGTCGTCGTCGTCGTCGTCGCCAGCGTCGTTGTAATCGCCATCGCGCGCGCCGTTGTCGACGTCGCCATGATGCCCCGCCCGCCTGAGCCACCGACTCGTACTGAAGCGCCTGCGCGTCAGCGCGGCCCGCGAGACATGCCGGGAAACCCCGAGCGGTCAGCGCCGCCGCGGCCGCGTCGGTCGCGCCAGACCAGCTGGCCGCTCCGCGCGCGAGCCTGCGCGCGCTAGCGTGGCTGCAGCGATGCGCCAGCAATCGCCGACCAGTCATCGCAGTTTCCGCCGCGTGCGTTTTGCAGATTGAGTTCTGGCGGGCGGGTGGGGTGGTTGCGCGAACAGGGGGGAATTCAGCTAACTCACCTCGAACGTACATGCACCGCTTGTATTGCGCAACGTAGATTGCACGAAGTACATCGCGCCACATCGTGTTCCGCGTATTTTGCCCCCTATAGATTGCATCGCATCGATTGCACCGCGTGCGTTGCTCCGCGTAGATTGCGCGAGGTTGATTGCGCCGCGTTGGTTGCACCGCGTAGGTTGCACCTCTCAGATTGCGCACCCCCTGCGAGACAAAGGGCGAAATGCGCGCGCGCGTCGTCGCGCGCGCATCCCGAGCTCTTTCAGACACTTCCTAGGGTCTCATCGGGACTTCGGATTCGAGCGCCCTGAAAACATGTAAAACGCCAGTGGCTTCGCCGCGAGAGTTTACACAGGGGGCATGTGCTCGCGTCGTTGCGCAGGCATGAGAAAACTCAGCGTCTGTTTAATCTTCTCATTGATGCGACCCAGCGTGCCCGTCGCGCGCGCGCGTGTCCAAATCATTCGAATGCCCTTGCGCGCGCGTTGTCGCAATGATCCCTTGGAGAAACGGGGCGACATGCGCGCGCGCGTCGTCGCACGCGCGTGTCGAAATCCTTTAAAAACAGTGTGTTGCGAAGGGGTTCACAATCGAGTGCCCCGCAAACGCATGGAAACATTTGGCTTTGCAGTGTGAATTTTCAATCAAGTAGTTTCCAATCTTTCACCAAATGCGGCCAAGCGGGCCTCTCGCGCGCGCGTCGAAATCGTTCGAACGCTGCTGAGGGGCGGGGGCGCGATTCCGGTGCAGTGATGCCGCGCGGGCCACTCGCGCGCGTCCGCCGCGCGCGTATGTCGGAATCCATATCGCAACCTCCGTCGCCGACGCGAGGGTGCTATCGTAGTCGTTGGCTTGATCGGCGTCGGCGCCGTCGCTGCCAATGTCGCCGTCATTGTCATCATCGTCGCCAGAATTGCTACTGTCCTCATCGCTCGCGCCGTTGTCGACGCCGCCATCGTGCCGCGTTCGCCCGAGCCACTTCCTCGCGCTGCAGTGCCTGCGGGTCGGCGCGGCATGCCGGCAGTGCTGGGAAGTCCCCGGCCTCCAGCGCCGCCGCGGTCGCGCCGGACCAGCTGGCCGCTCTGCGCGCGATCCCTTGCATTCATGCCATTCCATGCAGTTGTTTAACGACCCCCCCTCGCCCCCCGCAAATATTTTGCGCGCACGCTCAGTCAAATAAGCCCGCGCTCGCGTTTTTGCGCATTCTTGGGACAACCGTGCAGGTTTTTCTTCGACGCGCCATCAAATGCTAGCAAACGTGCCCCTCGCGCGCGCATGTCGAAATCATCCGAACGGCCTTGCGCGCGCGATGGCAACAGATGAGGCGGAGTGCGCGCCTGCGCCGTCGCGCACGCGTGCGGGAATCCGTTGAAAACCGAAGACTTCGCCAGGATGTCAAAGATGAGCGCGCCGAACACGTTAAACAATCAATGGTTTCGCAACGGGGGTTTTCAAAAAGCATGCGCTCGCGCTTTTGCGAATTCCTGAGAAAGCCATCGGTTTCTCAACATTTTCATCAAATTCTACCAAACGTTCTTTTCGCGCGCGCATGTCAAAATCACTCGAGCGCCCTGGCGCGCGTGCTGGGGGGTGGGGGGCGCGATCCCCGTCAAATCGTTCAGTGCTGGCCACTCGCGCGCGTCGGTCGCGCGCGTGCATGTCGAAATCCCCATCGCAAGCTGTATCACCGACGTGTGGACGCCATCATCGTCATCGGCAACGGCGCCGTCACTGCACTTTCCGTCGTCACTGTCATCATCGCTACCAGCACTGCTACTATCATCGTCGTGTCTGCCTTTGCCGACGTCGCCATGATACCGCGCCCACCGGAATCACGGACTCGCCCTGAAGTTCAGTTCCCGCGCATGAGCGCGGCTTGCGAAACGCGCTGGGATGCCCCCAGCGTGTAGCGCCTCCGCGGCCGCATCGGTCGTGCCAGACTAGTTGGGTGCTTTGCGCGCGAACTTGCACGCTGTAGCTCGACCGCAGCGATGCGCCAGCCAACGCCAAACAGTCATCGCAATCGCCCCCCGCATGGTTTTTTCAAACCAAGTTGCGGGTGGATTGGTGGGGTGGGATGATTGCGCGAAAGGTGGAGTTGACAACCCATTGCGAATAAACAGTTAGGTGAACCACACACATATATACCCACACACACACACATATATATATATATATATATATATCGCACCACGTAAATTGCACCACGCACGTACAAACACACACGCCTACATACATACCTACCTACATACATACATATACTTCAAATATTGTATTACGTACGTATGTCTGCATATGCATACATATTACATCACGTAGATTTCACATCCCGGGGTGCACAGCACGGATTGCACAACACATTTTGCACCGCGTGGGTAGCACCATATGTGTCATTCGAGACACAATCTTCGGGCACCACGCCAGCTAATGTATGTGCACACCGATATTTATAGATATAGGATACCGGAGAAAACGCAATCATAATATTCTTAGGGCTATAGGGCTATGGGGCGAAAGAGCTATAGGACAATAGGGCTTTAGGTCTACAGTGCTATAGGGCTATAGGGCTATAGGCATATAGAGCTATAGGGCTATAGGGCTATAGGGCTATGGGCTATAAGGCTATAAGGCTGTAGGGCTTTCGGGCTATAGCGGCTATAGGGCTATAGGGCTATAGGGCTATAGGGCTATAGGGCTATAGGGCTATAGGGCTATAGGGCTATAGGGCTGTAAGGCTACATGGCCATAGGGCTATAGGGCTATAGGGCTACAGGGCTATTTGGGCTATAGGGTTATTTGGGCCTTAGGGCTATAGGGCCTTCGGGCTATAGGGCTATAGGGCCATAGGGCGATAATCCTAGAGGGCTATGGGGCTATAGGGCTATAGGGCTATAGGGCTACCGGGCACCTGGGCACCTGGGTACAGGGGCACCCGGGCACCCGGGGGCACCAGGGGGGCACCCGGGCACCCGGGCACCTGGGCGCCCGGGCGCACCCGGGCACCCAGACACCCGGGTACCGGGGCACCCGGGCACCCGGGCGTGTCGCCGAAATCGGCGCCGTGCCTCACGTAACCATATGAATCCGCTAAGACCCTTACAGAGGCAAGCTCTGAATGGGGATCATTTACTTATGCACACACGTCTGTCGGTGTATACATATATGTATGTATTTATGTATGTATGCGTGCATGCATGCATGCATGCATGTATGTATGCATGCATGCATGCATGCATTTATGTATGTATGTATGTATGTATGTATGTATGTATGTATGTATGTAGGTATGCATGTATATATGTATGTACGTACGTATGTATATATGCATGCATCTATATACATATATACGTAAACATGTTGTGTGTTTGCATGCATGTATGTATGCATGTATGTATGTATGTTTGTATATATATATATATGTTTATGTATGTATGCATCGATATATGTATATACGTTTTTATGATGTGTGTATGTATGTATGTTTGTGTGGATGCATGTCTGTGGACTATATACATATATATGATTGTATACATGTATGTATCCGTGTATGTATGTCTATATGTATGTCTGCATGCATACATGTATGCATATATACATATATATATATATGCGTGCATGTGTGCATATATGTATGTACGTATATATGTATGTCTGTATATCGGCACGTCTTCGT